TCCCCATAAGATGAACAGCTGATCTTTCAGCAGAAACTCTGCAAGCCAGAAGAGAGTGGCAGGACATATTTAAAGTGATGAAAAGGAAAAACCTACAACCAAGATTACTCTACCCAGCAAGGATCTCATTCAGATTCGACAGAGAACTTAAAACCTTTACAGACAAGCAAAGGCTAAGAGAATTCAGCACCACCAAGCCAGCTTTACAACAAATGCTAAAGGAACTTCTCTAGGCAGGACAAGAGAAGGAAAAGACCTACAATAACAAATCCCAAACAATTAAGAAAACGGTAATAGGAACATACATATTGATAATTATCTTAAATGTAAATGGATTAAATGCTCCCACCAAAAGACACCGACTCGCTGAATGGATACAAAAACAAGATCTGTATATATACTGTCCACAAGAGACCCACTTCAGACCTAGGGACACATACAGACTGAAAGTGAGGGGATGGAAAAAGATATTCCATGCAAATGGAAATCAAAAGAAAGCTGGAGTAGCAATTCTCATATCAGACAAAATAGACTTTAAAATAAAGACTATTAGAAGAGACAAAGAAGGACACTACATAATGATCAAGGGATCGATCCAAGAAGAAGATATAACAATTGTAAATATTTATGCACACAACATAGAAGCACTTCAATACATAAGGCAAATGCTAACAGCCATAAAAGGGGAAATCGACAGTAACACAATCATAGACGGGGACTTTAACACACCACTTTCACCAATGGACAGATCATCCAAAATGAAAATAAATAAAGAAACACAAGCTTTAAATGATACATTAAACAAGATGGACTTAATTGATATTTATAGGACATTCCATCCAAAAACAACAGAATGCACTTTCTTCTCAAGTGCTCATGGAACACTCTCCAGGATAGATCATATCTTGGGTCACAAATCAAGCCTTGGTAAATTTCAGAAAATTGAAATCATATCAAGTATCTTTTCCGACCACAATGCTATGATACTAGATATCAATTACACGGAAAAATCTGTAAAACATACAAACACATGGAGGCTAAACAATACACTACTTAATAACCAAGAGATTACTGAAGAAATGAAAGAGAAAATCAAAAAATACATAGAAACAAATGACAATGAAAACACGATGACCCAAAACCTATGGGATGTAGCAAAAGCAGTTCTAATAGGGAAGTTTATAGCAAGACAATCCTACTTCAAGAAACAAGAAACATCTCAAGTAAACAACCTAACCTCACACCTAAAGCAATTAGGGAAAGAAGAAGAAAAAAACCCCAAAGTTAGTCAAAGGAAAGAAATCATAAAGATCAGATCAGAAAATAAATGAAAAACAAATGAAGGAAATTATAGCAAATATCAGTAAGACTAAAATCTGGTTCTTTGAGAAGATAAACAAAATTGATAAACCATTAGCCAGACTCATCAAGAAAAAAAGGGAGAAGACTCAAAACCAACAGAATTAGAAATGAAAAAGGAGAAGTAACAACTGACAGTACAGAAGTAAAAAGGATCATGAGAGATTACTACAAGCAACTCTATGCCAATAAAATGGACAATCTGGAAGAAATGGACAAATTCTTAGAAAATCACAACCTTCTGAGACTGAACCAGGAAGAAATAGAAGATATAAACAGACCAGTCACAAGTACTGAAATTCAGACTGTGATTAAACATCTTCCAACAAACAAAAGCCTAGGACCAGATGGCTTCACAGGAGAATTCTATCAAACATTTAGAGAAGAGCTAACACCTATCCTTCTCAAACTCTTCCAAATATAGCAGAGGGAGAAACACTCCCAAACTCATTCTATGAGGCCACCATCACCCTGATACCAAAACCAGGCAAAGATGTCACAAAGAAAGAAAACTGCAGGCCAATATCACTGATGAACATAGATGCAAAAATCCTCACTAGCAAACAGAATCCAACAGCACATTAAAAGGATCATACACCATATTCAAGTGGGGATTATCCCAGGAATGCAAGGATTCTTCAGTATATGCAAAACAATCAGTGTGATACACCATGTTAAGAAATTGAAGGACAGGGCTTCCCTGGTGGCACAGTGGTTGAGAGTCCACCTGCCGATGTAGGGGATACGGGTTCGTGCCCCGTTCTGGGAAGATACCACATGCCACAGAGCGGCTGGGCCCATGAGCTATGGCCGCTGAGCCTGCGCGTCCAGAGCCTGTGCTCCGCAACGGGAGAGGCCACAACAGTGACAGGCCCACGTACCGCAAAAAAAAAAAAAAAAAAGAAATTGAGGGAGAAAAACCACATGATCATCTCAATAGATGCAGAAAAAGCTTTTGACAAAATTCAACACCCATTTATGATAAAAACCCTCCAGAAAGTAGGCATAGAAGGAACTTACCTCAACATAATAAAGGCTCTATATGACAAACTCACAGCCAACATCATTCTCAGTGGTGAAAATTTAAAAGCATTTCCTCTAAGGTCAGGAACAAGACAAGGTTGTCCACTCTCACCACTATTATTCAACATAGTTTTGGAATTTTTAGCCACAGCAATTAGAGAAGAAAAAGAAATAAACGGAATCCAAGTCAGAAAAGAAGAAGTAAAGCTGTCACTGTTTACAGATGACACGACACTATACATAGAGAATCCTAAAGATGCCACCAGAAAACTCCTAGAGCTAATCAATGAATTTGGTAAAGTAGCAGGATACAAAATTAATGCACAGTAATCTCTTGCATTCCTATACATTAATGATGAAAAAATCTGAAAGAGAAATTAAGGAAACACTCCCATTTACCATTGCAACAAAAAGAATAAAACACCTAGGAATAAACCTACCTAAGGAGACAAAAGACCTGTATGCAGAAAACTATAAGACACTGATGAAAGAAATTAAACATGATACAAATAGAGGGAGAGATATACCACGTTCTTGGATTGGAAGAATCAACATTGTGAAAATGACTTTACTACCCAAAGCAATCTACAGATTCAATGCAGTCCCAATCAAACTACCAATGGCATTTTTCACATAACTAGAACAAAAAATTTCACAATTTGTATGGAAACACAAAAGACCCCGAATAGCCAAAGCAATCTTGAGAAAGAAAAATGGAGCTGGAGGAATCAGACTCCTGGACTTCAGACTACACTACAAAGCTACAGTAATCAAGACAGTATGGTACTGGCACAAAAACAGAAATATAGGTCAATGGAACAGGATAGAAAGCCCAGAGATAAACCCACACACATATGATCACATTATTTTTGATAAAGGAGGCAAGAATATACAATGGAGAAAAGACAGCCTCTTCAATAAGTGGTGCTGGGAAAACTGGACAGCTACATGTAAAAGAATGAAATTAGAACACTCCCTAAAACCATACACAAAAATAAACTCAAAATGGATTAAAGGCCTAAATGTAAGGCCATACGCTATAAAACTCTTAGAGGAAAACATAGGCAGAACACTCTAGGACATAAATCACAGCAAGATCCTTTTTGACCCACCTCCTAGAGAAATGGAAATAAAAACAAAAATAAACAAATGGGACCTAAGGAAACTTAAAAGCTTTTGCACAGCAAAGCAAACCATAAACAAGACCAAAAGACAACCCTCAGAATGGGAGAAAATATTTGCAAATAAAGCAACTGACAAAGGATTAATCTCCAAAATTTACAAGCAGCTCATGCAGCTCAATATCATAAAAACAAACAACCCAATCCAAAAATGGGCAGAAGCCCTAAACAGACATATCTCCAAAGAAGATATACAGATTGCCAACAAACACATGAAAGGATGCTCAACATCACTAATCACTAGAGAAATGCAAATCAAAACTACAATGAGGTATCAACTCACACCAGTCAGAATGGCCATCATCAAAAAATCTACAAACAATAAATGCTGGAGAGGGTGTGGAGAAAAGGGAACCCTCTTGCAGAGTTGGTGGGAATGTAAATTGATACAGCCACTATGGAGAACAGTTGGAGGTTCCTTAAAAAACTACAAATAGAACTACCATACGACCCAGCAATGCCACTACTGGGCATACACCCTGAGAAAACCATAATTCAAAAAGAGTCATGTACCACAATGTTCATTGCAGCACTATTTACAATAGTCAGGACATGGAAGCAACCTAAGTGTCCATCAAGAGATGAATGGATAAAGAAGATGTGGCACATATATACAATGGAATATTACTCAGCCATAAAAGGAAACGAAATTGGGCTATTTGTAGTGAGGTGGATGGACCTAGCGTCTGTCATACAAAGTGAAGTAAGTCAGAAAGAGAAAAACAAATACCGTATGCTAACACATATATATGGAATCTAAAAAAAAAAAAAAGGTCATGAAAAACCTAGGGGCAGTATGGGAATAAAGACTCAGACCTACTAGAGAATGGACTTGAGGACACAGGGAGGGGGAAGGGTAAGCTGGGACAAAGTGAGAGAGTGGCATGGACATATATACACTACCAAATGTAAAAGAGATAGCTAGTGGGAAGCAGCCGCATAGCACAGGGAGATCAGCTCGGTGCTTTGTGACCACCTAGAGGGGTGGGACAGGGAGGGTGGGAGGGAGGGAGACGCAAGAGGGAAGGAATATGGGAACATACGTATATGTATAGCTGATTCACTTTGTTATAAAGCAGAAACTAACACACCATTGTAAAGCAATTATACTCCAATAAAGATGTTAGGAAAAAAACAAATAACAAAAAACAGTGAGCCGAGGCTAAAGGAAAAGAATCACAGATTGGAAATTGGGCCTGAGAGCTGATCATGCTTGAGGTCTGCTTACAAAAATGATCATTTGTGTTGAGTACAGAAGCGTCACTGATGAGACCAGAGATGGTCCCACGCCTGTGAACTTTGCTGACTCTGGACTCAGACCCGGCCGTCGGGTTGCCTTGTGGGCAGGGCTAATCTGGCGGGATCTAGAGGTGCACCGAGGGGGGTTTTGTGGGCTGGGCTTTCACCCTAAGTGACGCTAGGTTTGGTCTCACTTACTGTTTGTGGACGAAGCTTTTCATTCAGGGAAACATTCTGCATAATCTTACACCCGGGGTGTCTTGCACAAGATGTCCTTGCAACGTGACCAGGCTGGGGGCCCCACGCCTCCTAAGTCCAGGTTAAGACCAAGTCCTGCTACCCGCAACTCCTTCTCTTCTCCTGGGCTTGGCACCTCCGTCTTGACGGATCATCTGGTGAACCCAGGTAATTGCAGGAACCGAGGCCCAGCCCTCAGCTGAATGGGCCTGCCTCGTCTGTTTCCCTGCAGCCACTGTAGCCTTCTTGGACGGTCTGGAACTTGGAATAGGTGGGCCACTGCTGCCTTCTAGGACCTGGAAAGGGCTACAGAGAGCACCTCCCAGACCGACGGGCACTGCACACGAAGCCGAGCAGCTCCTTTGCAGCATTAACCTCGTGTGTGACAAGTGGACACACCGCAAGCCGTCATGCCACCATGGGCAGGTCCCTAAGGGCCTGTCAGGAGGAGACTGAGGCTCGGAGAGATGGAGCGACACGGCCACCAAGAGGGCAAGCCAGGGCTCCAGCTCGTGTCTTGTGGCTCCAGGTCTGTGTTCCTTTTACCCTGCCAGAAAGCCCCGGTTATAAATGACGAGCACGGTTCCTGCACAAACTGCTTCACTGGAATTCAATCCTGGAGAAGAAAAATGGCCCCTGCGATGGGTCTACTCAGTCCTGGAATCTGCGTGGCCTGTGTGATCCAGCCTCGTGAGCAACCCTCCCGCTCGTGTTGTGTTCCTGGATTAGGGGTGATTGATGCCAGCTGAGGTTCCCACTGAGGCTCCGTGCATAGCGAGCGAGTAAGATCACAGGTGTTGGGTTCCTCCCACTCAGCACAGCCAGGCAGATACCTTCTTATATCCTTGTGAAGCAAACAACACATTTTATTGTGACAGTACCTTTACTGTGAAGGGGTGAAGGGGGTCAAAAGGTAGAAACTGCCAGTTATAAGATAAATAAGTCCTGGGACTATAACATACGGCACAGTGACTATAGTTAGTAATACTGTATTGTGTATTTGAAAGTTGCCAAGTAGACCTTAAAAGTCCTCTTCACAAGAGGAAACAAAATTTGTAACAAGGTGTGGCGACAGATGTTAACTAGACTTACTGTGCTGAGTGTTTCGCAATATATGCAAACACCGAATCATCATGTTGTACATCTGAAACCAATACAATGTTATATGTCAATTATATCTCAATAAAAATTTTTTTAAATAGCTCTGAAGTTTTGTCAGTAATAATATACAAGCACTGGGTGGGTCTTTGAGCAGTAAATGAAGAAAATAATACAGCAAAGGGAGTCTAATCACTAATAAAACCCCAGCTAAAATTCCTAAATCCCTTACATTTTCTAAGGACTTGTTATAATGAGCTGGTGATACATTGCCCCAGGGCAAGAGGTCAGTTTCATCTCTGCTGAAACTCTGGATGAGAAAGTGAATTCTTTAAAAACTAAATGAGCGACAAACAACCTCTAGCTTTTCAAGAGAGGAATTATTCCTCAGTTTAACACTGGAGTTTATCAGCAGCAGGTAAAGCTCAGGAAATCAAAATATTAAAGGACTAAGCTCAGAGCTGGGATGATCACAAAACCCAGGTGAAAACTGCTAAAATACGGACTTAAACCGGAGGGCAGCTTCTGGCCTTTGAAGGGTGCAAGTCAATGATCTGACCTTCTCTGCAGAGCCACAGGGCTGCTGGTGAGCGAGGCCCAAGGTGGCCCCTTCCTCCCCAAGTCCTCAGACACCCCAGAGTCCTCCCTGAGACAGTTTGCTTTGTTCAAGCCTACTTTGTTTCATTTTCCACTTTCCCTTTCAGGTCAGAGTCAAGGGAACCCAATATGAAAACTGTTACAAAGCCTTTCAGTGAATTCCAGAACCCAGAACTCACACCATACAAAATACCAATTTCCCTTAAGATAAGGGCAGCTGTCTCAAATCCTTTTTGGAATAAGGTGAGGTATAAAGTATTTATATTCCCTAAATAGAATTATTTGTCCTAAAATAACATAAGTCAACCTACCTCTGGGCAGAAAGCCTCAGGTGCAGACAGGCACGCCCACCTGTTTACACGTAGGGCCACGGTCTCCGCCAAGAAAAATAACCCCCTCGGTGAACAACAAGCTGTTCCCTCACTAGGTCCAGTCACCAGAAGAAAGTTCTCAACTCCCAAGGTCTCCCCAGGCTTGCTTTTAGCTCTCCTGTTGCATTGACTCTCTAGCTTTGTTGAGTGAAGATTGGATGTGGTCCAGGAGGCTGCCGGCAACACGGTGGATCAACTGCACAAGTCGGATTCTGCCTAGACCTGTGGCCCATGTGTTTTCCATTCAGTGACACCCACGCTACCGGCACAGCGGCCAATAGCGCTCACGGCAGTGGTCCAGCCTCCACCCTGCATCCGCAAACCGGCCCTTGGCAGGACTGGGCGGGCCGTTCCCTCCGGGTTTGCATAGTCAGCACCCACTGCAGAGGCAGGGACAGAGGTCTTCTTAGAGACCTGCTCCCGGCCCTACAAAGGCAAAGTGGCCTCTCTTACGATGCCCTTGGGTGGCAGGTGTGGGTGCAGAGAGTGACACTTGCACCTATTTCACTCACGTAAAGAATTAAATCCATGCATTCAAATGCTCCAACGAGTCCCACCCACGTACAACTCAGTTAACTACTTCCAACAACTCACTTACAGTGGTCACACCGATTACCGGACTCCCCAGAGCTGCCACCGGGAGAAGCTTCAGAGAGCTGTCAGGGACACGGCCACGTCAGCAGATCGTCCAGCCGCCTGTCATGGCCTCGGTGCCCAGAGCTGCCATATTTCGTTCCCGACCCCAGCCATTCTGATCAGAGCAGGGGTGGGGGACAGCTGGCCCAAGGGAATAAGACAGAAATGATGGGGAAAGCAACCGAGTGGGAGCCACAGCCGCAGCTGTAGGAGAGGAGAAGGGAGAGCCAGGGGGCAGCAGACAGAGCAAGCTCGGCGGAGAGCCAAGGGCTTTCTGAGCCCATCCGCTCTGGGCACTGCTGACCCAGCTTCCCTTGAGCACCTGCGCCGGTAGCCATTGTCCTGAGGAGACTGAAGCACCTCTGTGTCCTCTGCATCTCCCAGGACACTGGGGACCTGGAAATTCATTACTGTAAGAACCTCCTCCATAGCTGTTGGATGCTCTGGTGTTAAGGGCTGAATTGTGTCCCCCTAAAATCGTCTGTTGAAGTCTTAACCCTCAGTACCTCAGAATGGGACCTTATTTGAAGGTACGGTCTTCACAGAGGCCATCAAGTCAAAATGAGGTCATTAGGGTGGATCCTAATCCAGTTTGACTGGTGTCCTTATAAAAAGGGGGAATGTGGACACAGAGACAGAAAGAATGCCATGTGAACGTGGAGACGGCCGTCTGCAAGCCAGAGAGGGAGGCCTGGAATGGACTCTTCCCCAAAGCCCTCAGGAGGGACCAGCCCTGCCCACACCCCTCCATCTCAGACTTCTAGACTCCAGAACCGCGAGACAATAAATGTCCGTTGTTTAAACCAGCCATTCTGTGTGCTCTGCTCTGGCAGCCCCAGGACACTGACACAGCTGGTAGGGTCCTCTGCCTGGCCCAGGGGCCCTAAAACCAGCACAGTCCCGCATCTGCAACCACTTCAATTCCAGCCCTTTAATCTCTGGTCCCCAAATGAAACCTTTGCTTTCGTGTTTTATTTTATTTTGTTTTAAACATTTTGGGACGACTGTATGTGCAGTTTTAAAAGTTCGTAAAAATAGTTTTCTATTAAAAGGCAGAGGCTCCTGGCCTCTTGCCTTCCCAGATCTGTTCCACTGCCCAGAGTCAAAGGGCTCTAATCGTTCCAGTAATTAGCTGTCGGGGGCCGGCATGTCTGAGCAGAGTACTGATTTGTTCTCTGTTCCAGGAGTTCCCTCACTGAGAGCATCCCTTGGAAAATGCCAGAGAAAGTAAAAGGAGATGTCTTCGTGCGGAAGCAGAACTGCCGTAAATAGCCTGCTGGCTTGCTAATGGGAGTCAGGCACTTCAGAAGGGGACGCTCAGTCCCCAGAGCTCCTGTGGCTCCTGTCACAGAGCAAGGACAGGACCCAGAGCAGACCCTGAGCTGGCCAGACTGGAGATCGTGACCATCTGTCCTACCAGCACCTCTGTGCCCCTCCCCCAGCGCAGTCCCTGGCTCAGAGAAGACCCTTGACTTGTAAGTATCTGATGCTAATGGTTGTTGCAGGGAGAAGTTACCTGACGCTTCTATGTGTCTAGTAATTAGTTGGCAGGGGCTGCTCTTGCTCTTTTTTTAAATATAAATTTATTTATTTTATTTTTGGCTGCGTTGGGTCTTCGTTGCTGTGTGCGGGCTTTCTCCAGTTGCGGCGAGCGGGGGCTACTCTTCATTGTGGTGCGCGGGCTTCTCATTGCAGTGGCTTCTCTTGTTGCGGAGCACGGGCTCTAGGTGCACGGGCTTCAGTAGTTGTGGCTCGCAGGCTTCAGTAGTTGTGGCTCTCCAGCTCTAGAATGCAGGCTCAGTAGTTGTGGCACACGGGCTTAGTTACTCCGCGGCACGTGGGATCTTCCCGGACCAGGGATCGAACCCGTGTCCCCTGCATTGGCAGGTGGATTCTTAACCACTGCACCACCAGGGAAGCTCTCTTGCTCTTTTTTTTAAACAGACCTTATTTTTTTAGCTGTTTTGCATTTACAGGAAAAACTGAGTAGAAAGTGCATAATTCCCATATACCCTTCACACACACACGCGCGCACACACACACACACACACACACACACAGTTTCCCCTGTTATTAACATCTTGCATTCGTAAGTGTGGTACACTTGTTACAATGGATGAGCCAATATTGACACACTGTTCTTAAATAAAGTCCATAATTTACGTTAATGTTCACTCTTGGTGCTGTACATTCTATGGGTTTCATCCAGTGTATAAAGACAGGTATTCACCAACACAATATCATACACAATAGTTTCATAGCTCTAAAACCCCTCTGCACTCTACCTGTTTAGTCAGCCTTCCCTCCCTCCCCACCCTGAAACCACTGATCTTTCTACTGCTCCATATTTTTTCCTTTTCCAGAATGTCATATAGTTGGAATCGTATAGTATGTAGCCTGTCAGATGAGCTTCTTTTACTTAGTAACATGCATTTAAGTTTCCTTCATGTCTTTTCCTGGCTCGATAGCTCATATCTTCTTAGCACTAATATTCCATTGTCTGGATATACCAAAGTTATTGATCCATTCACCCACCGAAGGACATCTTCGTTGTTCCCAAGTTTTGTCAGTTATAGATAAAGCTGCTATAAACATTCATGTGCAAGTTTCTGGGTGGACATAAGTTTTCAACTTCTTTGGATAAATACCAAG